TTAATTCTTCTTTTTTAGTTGTTTCAGGGATTTCAAATCATTTTATATAGTAGACAATGGAAGTCCGAACTAGTGAAATTCATCATGAAACATTGTCAATCACCTTCAAACAACCGACTTTTTGGATACCAATTACCAGAGATCCCGTCCTTGCCATCAAAAGGCGTTAAATATTGAGTTGACAGACACAACCAAGAGCGTTACAGGTTTCAGAAAATTAACACAATTCATTTTGCACTTTCACGTTTGTCAACACAATTTATGTAAGTTTGTGTTTCAAGCTGCGAAGGACGGAAAGTTTCCTATAGGTAGTTGGAAGTTTCCATGTTTAGTGAGTTATAATATTCATTCAATTTGCAATGTTTCGAAATCTATTATTATTATTCATTGCATTGGAAAGTTGGAAAATAAGAGTAACGAAAACCAGGGATTACTATAACAATTCACAATGGAATTCAAATTTAGGGTACTAACCTTTTTCTTTTAATTGGAGTTTTGGAATCAACTGTCGGTACAAGTTGCTCTCCTGGTCTACACCAAATAATAGGTCCATCATTACTGTCGGTTGGTTTCATTTGATCACAAATTGATAGTGGTCCCCAGGGCATAGTCTGAAATCAAAAATATTTTTGAATTCAAATGACACAAAATAAGAAAATGGTGTATGTGCATATTACTCCTGAATACAGAATCAGTAATGCTGACTTGAATAAAAATACAGACACAGGGACGTTTATGTAATGAAACTCAAAAAAAAGCTAAATCACTTTGAAAATATTCAATAAATAATAATAGTACTGAATTCCAGCATTACAGAATAACAAGAAATGAAGGCCATGCTCTGCTATTTATACAGCAATGAGCAATGATTTTCTTTTCAATTTTATCTAAATCATCTTACCATGGCTTAGATTAATACAGTTCCATACTATGATAGGGCCATAGCAGCATACTTTTAATTTATCGCAGTTCAACTTGGAGAGTTTGAGCACCATCTTTCAATAATCATGTACTAATCGTACTTGTAAAACACCTCAAAGCAGTTTCAAGTTTCTCTAAAAAAAATGTGTGTGTGCAATACTGATTTTACATTAACAATAACTTTCACAAAATGTCTGATAATTGGAATTCATCACGTTGGGATAATAAACATTTGTTTATATATTAGATCACTGAAATCATTATATTATAATCTTTTTATTCATGAAAAAATTGACTATGAAGTTCCCACTGAGCATATTGTATGTGTGTGAGTAAGGTCATAAATTAAGTAACCTCTATAAAATTCAAAGTGTTATAGGATCGAAATCATTCCTCCACATTTTTTTAGATCTTGCTGATCAGTCATTGATGAACCCGAAGCTCCAACCCGTTGGGAGAGCGAGTCAAAATCATTAACCAACGACCACTTCCCACAACGATAGGGTGTCATTGGATTCTGGAATCACGTTCCCTGAGAATAAATAACAAACCAAGAATGACAGCCGACTGCAATGGTGTAATCAAGATTGTTGTCATTTTGAGACAAGCCAATATAAACTTTGGATTATAGAGATATGCGGGTGAGTGGCGGGGGGTCACTGTCTCTCTCTTATGGGTGTTTGACAGTCCTCCGGTGCAGACCACACGGCACTCACTCAGTAAAGTTATCGGTCAACTACCCTATCCCGCATCTGCGGGCAACAGGCGTTGGCCGATTTCAAGCTAGATGTGTGGATACTCAGTTTGTATTTCAAACATTCGTTGTTGAATAAAAATCAGATATCATTCACCTGAGTTCTACTTTGAATGAATGGTAATAAATGGCACTTATATGAAACACTGTCACCCTCACTGGTATACACCGATGTTTCGCCGTAAGACACTTGCCCCAAGGCTCTTCAATACCAAATTGGATAACATTATAGAAAATACACACAATTCATTCATGAATTACTATGTTCCATAGTTTAACATAGACATACAAACAAACGATTTTTCAAACTGTATCACTTGACAGCTGTCAGGGTCAACTGTTTTATCATCTCTCTCTCTGTGGTCTAAGGCCACATGGTTTTTACCAGTATTTTATAATTTCAAACCATTTAACGATTTTATTATGTAAATTTAAATAATCTTCCTGATATCAGTGAGGAGTCAAACCTTTTTTAATTTTGTGACTTGTTTTAATGTATTGACATGTTGTTTCAACTGTTTAAATGTAACATTCTCTTCAACACGGCCATCCTCACTAACAGTAAGTTGTGCCTTTTTGTAACAAATTTTATGTTATTGTATCACTTTTTTGTAGCTCTTCCTTGACAATGATAATAAACTTTATAGAAATATTGGAATAACTTGTGTTATAAGAGTACACTTCCGTTCTGCTGATCACCCAAAGATACTGAACGTTTCATCCTCTTGTTTGTTTTTTTATGTGGTTAGAACGCCTTAGTGCAGGTACTGCAGGTAAATTTGCCTGTATTTGGATTACATAAGGTACTATCCTTTGTGTTGGATTTTCTCTAGGTTCATTGTTTCTAGGAATGTGTATTGTATTGTAGAGTGTATTGAATGTTAGGTCTTGTTGTGTTCTGATTTGTATGTGTTCCTTGATAAGTGAATTATGACTTTTAAATTTATGTATGTTTGAGATTTCCCAGATGTCCATACGGTTACCTTGATTGACTTTTTTATGAGTTTTATGTTCTCTGGTGAGAGAAAGTTATGTTTGCTTTATATGGCGTATGTGGCGAGGTTTGATTTATGTTATTGGATTTATGTATGCCTTTATGTATCTACAAAGATACATAAGAAAAATAAACCTATAAGACCGGTTATCAATTTCACCAAGGCACCTTCATATAAAATTTCAAAAATCATAGCCCATGAACTGAATAACAAAATCAACAGAAACAACAACTACAGCGTCAAAAATTGAATGGAACTCACCGACAGAATCTCAACGACAAATGTCAGCACGAACACTAAACTATTCTCATTCGACATCAAAAACATGTACTCCAACATACCAGTCAACGAAAGTATAAAAATCTTATCAGATAATCTAAAACACCAAAAAATAGATAGGACCTACATTAACCAGATGGAAGACAGCCTAAATACAATACTCAACCAAAACTATTTCGAATCTGAAGGAAAAATGTATAAAAAAACAGATGGACTAGCGATGGGATCCCCACTATCTAGCATTNTGTAGCTCCGCGCTTTTTCTCCAAATTTCTTCATGTTTTAAGTTATCACCTGCTCAAACAAGTTTTCTATTCAATTCAACAGCACATCCGATATGATATGATATAGCAAGAAAGGTACTTCCCAACAGTTTTCCTGGGGTATGTTGCTGAACAGAAGACCTTTAAACTTTGATTACCTTGTTCTTTTTTACGATTCAAGTTCATCATAATGCTCAAGCAAAATACTTTTTGTGTTTTTCTTTTTGTTGTGCTGATTCCTTTGTATGGGTCAGACGTGTCATAGACAATGTAGATAGACTTCTCAAAGAGGAGTTAGAATATGAATTGAAGGTAAGAGTTATAAATAATATTGGAAACGTTGATGTAATACGAACATGTCGTCGTGGTTGGCTGGCGTTATAAAATGCCGGTAACATTTCGGATCTAGAGACGATAGATGCGAAATCCGAATTAGAAATTTGTAATATGAGGAACTACTGAAAGAATTACTAGATTTTCGGAAACAGCATCATTTATCAGAAAAATTGAATGTGAATTTGCGCTTATCTTTGGAAGGTTATAATATAGGGAACTGAATCAGAAATTATAGAGGGTCATTCAAAACTATTACAATTGGATTGAGTCCTGTAGTATCTAGTAGTTAATAGGATGTTGACTTTAGGCAACACACACTACTTGTTCATGGTAGCAAGTATATCTATATTTAACATTCATTGTAAATGCATGCGCATCACCAAATGTAAAGCTCCTTATAAGTTTGTACGGACCTTGGGATGCTCTCTTCGGTTAGTTTTTGGGGATCCCATGCAATAATTCAGGTATGAAAGTCATAATAAAACAATTCAACGGATCAGAAAGTAAAAGCACCTTCTTGCAGAAGTGCCCATCAGTAAGTTGCGGACCGCTCCGGAGGAGCGGGGGTGGATGGACGAGATGGGATTGTTCTGCACACATTAACCATGTGGAGAAGATTTCAACTCAGGGCACTCAACCCGGAAGGGAGATGCTCTCACATTCAACTCGTTCAACGAATAACATTATTACCAGTTCTCTTAACAGTAATAAAGTACGGTGAGGAATGTTTCAATTCGTTTGTTACCCGAGATACATTATAGTTGGCGACGAGGAAAAACCATAATACAGTTATATATTTTGTTTCTTTTGCGCGGGATCTTGAAGGATGCTGTTTTGGTGGTAGATAAAGATTAATTTTCACCATACATTTAGCGGAACACACGTTTTTTGCGGAACACACTTCTTTTTCCGAGCACACCTCTTGCTTGTCTGTCCTTTATATTTTTCTACGGTTCCCGACCTCCGAGCTGCGTATAAGGCCGGTGTCATCAATGATCAAATGTAAGCAATAATAATAATCATACCTGAACCCACATACAGTAACAGGTGAATATCGAACAGGATACATGAAAGATAAGTGTATTTTTAAAAATACATATTTTTTTATTATTTTATAAAATGTACTTACTGAGCTCTTATCTTGGTGAGTAACAGATCACAATACAGGCATTTCAATGTCTAGGTGAAAGTTACTCATTCAAGATAATTGAAATTTATTAATTATGTATGTCATACAACAAATTGTATATTAACATGGAATAAATTTGATTTGATTGATAGAGTAGCAAAGGGGTCATTCCTTCAAGGAATGTTCAATAAGCAGAACAACCATTTCATCAGTTTTTTCCTTTTATTTTTGGGATATTTTTGATCACCCGTAGCTGAAAAGTCCACGAAAAATATCGTCCTGTTTTGATAGATAAGAAGGATAGTTTCGGCAATTCTCATTCAGCACATTGGATTTAGTTTTCAACTTCAGCCCATTCGACCTGAAGAAAAAGATCAGCAGGTGCTTTGCTTAGCTGAAATCTTCAATGCTGTTGAAGAAAACCTCATGCACCAGCTTATCATTGTGTATCCGCAAGAGTCAAGTGGTCTCTTTGATGTGAGCCTTTCACTGAAATATTTTCTCCTTGGTGACAGAGTTGTTGTCGCCGTGGTTCGCATCAAGATGACGTAGTCGAATACATGAAATGCCTTGTCAAAGCGAATTTATATGACGAGGACTTGGAAATCTATTTATGAGGAAATAATTGAAGAGCATTCAATAGAATTTTCTAGAAGCAGTCCATGGTATAGAAAAATGACTAGATACTATATTTTTCAGCTAATCATTTTAATGTTTCACAGATTCTTTCAGGAATTTCAAATCAATTTATATCATATTAGACAATGGAAGTCCGAACTAATGAAATATAGATACTATAGGTTTTCAGATTTGTGGATGGGCTTTATCCAAATGTGAATGTGGACTTTTTTCAAAAAGGAGGAAAGTGTTCAAATCGATCTTGAAACTTTATTAACAAAATATTCCAGAAGTGCAACAAGCTAAGTTGGGAAGGCCTAAAATGCGTTAGATAATCTAGTCAATGCAGTATCATCCTAATGAAGACCTTCAAATCAAACTTTTTTTTTTCACAAAAGCCTTATCAGGCGACTTACTAATTACGGTTCTATAGATTATGACACAACTAGTAAATCTTCATTAAGAACGATCGATTCAAATCACAATACAGCAATAGGAACGTTTCTAGGTGCCTATAGAACCACACCCACTGAAAGCCTATACTATGAATAAGTGAATCTTCATTATACTTGCAAAGTCAGTCCTTAAGGTTTTCATACACCGCAAGCATACCCAGAAATCAAAACAATCCTGTATACAATAATGAAATCCTCAGATGATTCATTGATTTGTATATCAGATAATTTCGTATCACCAATCCTATCTGACAGAGACTTTACACATATCTCTCCAAACTAAATACCAAATCAGTTCTGTCATCTCATATTGCCTTCTAGCGACTCTTCCTTAAACTATCACAACTCCAACATGTACTATGTAATCTTAATCTCAGTCGCTTTGAAAAATTAGTTACTCCACCTCAGGTGGAGTAACTCCATAACTCCATGCACTCCTATCCAATTTCCAAACATACACTCAAATATATACTAATGAATGAAAATCAGAAGAAGTCACAGCCTTTTTGTCACCATCGCAACAATTAAGTTCAGTCAACAAGTTTGGAAACATAAACAACATCAGCAGCAGAAAAGACAACAATGAGGGCACGAGTGATTTGGCTGAAAGGAGAATACAAAAAACTTCTCAAAAAGGAGTATTCACCAACATTATCTGAAGATATTGTACTCTAAATTCACTTATAAAGTCCATCAGACAGAATTTGACATTTTTTATGACAAGGTTAGGTCCTAAATTAGTAGTTTTATTTACCGAAAGTACCAAACTCAACATGAGAAACTCACTTCACTAACACAGAAACAAAAACATATCATACATAACGAATCAGTTGAACCAGATATCCAATTCAGTGAAAAAATTATTAATTTGACCAAAGTAGAAATTTCAACAATATCCAAAGGCGCAAAATTTGCACCAACAATAATCAACAAAAACAGTTTGCATTGAAACAGGCAGATGATAGTATTGGGTCATATAAAATCAATGAAGTCATTTCGAACCATCCATTTGCATTATCAAACCATAGAGGAACAGGCATAATAAAATCCATACCAGAAAAAATAGGAGAAAACGATCTTGTTCTCACAAAAGCTGATAAATCGAATGTCATCGATATAGTAGTAGGTGTACAAAGTCGATTTTTAATGTTACGAATTTTTTAAATATTTTCACTCCTTTAGACAATTTAATAAACCAGAACGTTCTTTTTTTTCACTAAATCAGTCTCATAGGGGTATCATATTGAAAAATGGTAGGTGTACAGAGTCGGTAAATGAAAAAATAATAATTCGATATTTTTTTCTCGGTGTACTTTGTGAAGAGTGGGATTTTTTGTCACTGTATGCTCGCGATAAATTAGGTGCAAAATTAATGTTTATATTTACGAGGACTGAAACGCTGAAACGGTTTTTGATTATTCTCTCATATCAAAACGTGAATGGGAAATTAGTATAGAATTTATTGCAGTTAATTTCTGTAATCAAATTCTGGCTTTCTTTTTGTCAATGTTATATTTTGCAATGAATCTGAAAACAATTGAAATTTCAGGAAAAAATTGAAGATAGGTATACGTCATTGTACATGAAATATGCCTACAATGTTCTGAAGAATCCAAAAATTGATAGGGTGTTACATTTAAAACAGGAAAATTGATATTGGCCACTGTTACATAACACAGTCTGTATAAAAAGTTATTGTTGAAAGAAATTAGCAACTAATAATAACAATCGACAGGGTTTCAGCGTTTTCTTTAACATGCCGCCCAATAATTTATTATCGAATTGACTCCATTTGGTTGAGACAAACTGTATTTTTTGCTGTCGTTTTGATTTTTCATCTCATAAATATTATAAATACATGTTTTTTATTTACTTACCAAGTTGAGAAATTGATTTTCTTCAAGTAGTGCCAAGAGATCAGGAAAATATCCTCCGACTTCTTCATGAGCTGTACCCACTATGCTTATTTGATGAAGAGGTCCACAACGCACTGTACCAGCTTCGTAATTTTTACAAACATTTTCATTATAGACCGCCATTGACGTCGTTTCTATATCAGAACTCTTACTTAACAAACCATTTTTGACGGTTAAGTTAGGGTAGTTTTCAGCCATATAAGAAAGAATATCTGGAAGGTATGTGGCAGATCCATGTACAACAGCTAGTACAAATGTGGCATGTCCTTCTTTGTCTTCATGAAATGCCAACTGAAAAAACTCCTTGGCTAATTCTTTGGTATCGTTTGAACTCAAATGCTTTATTTCATCATGGTACATTTTGAGAATTTTTGCACCACCATTACTGTGAGTTTCTATGTGATAGTACCGGCGATATCTTAGAGATTGCTGAAAGTGAAACAAAAAACAAGTGAAAAGTGATATTCCTGTTATGATTGGAAAAAAATAGAATATGATAAAGGGACAGTTGTTGATATGTATGAATTACAATTATTTCTTTTAAGATTAATTGTTAGGAGATTGCACATTCCCTAATTATTTGCATAATGCATTGCACTTTGCATAATTGGGGTATGACTAAGAGATTCAAATTATTCAAAATGTTACTATTTTATTTGATCTGAGTGCTAATACTGTATACTGTAAATATTGAAGAAAACAATTATAAATGCAGTTATGTTAGGCCATCGTCCTCGTGCTTCTTGGTTTCTTATGACCCTTCAGCCATGTTGCCTGTTACGATAATGGGTATTCTGGAGACCAGTGACCGATGATTAATAACATTGAATACGAAATAGGAATTAAAGGTTGTTCAAGGCAGTCGAATATACGCTGTTGTAGCGAGCAGTTGATATTCAGTATCAAAGGATGATTCACAGGTACAGAGCGAGGGAACAAGCGACGAGTTGATATTCAATTGCTGTTGTATCAGAAGAATTGTTTTTTGTTTTTTGTGGGTTATTATCATTGAATATTATTGCAAGTGAACAAAGTATTTTTCTACTCTTCCACAGTGAAGTGCCATAAATGAAAGAAAGTTTTCCACCCACGTACAAGTATCGCAAGTTTAAAGTGCTTCATGTCATGATGAGATGCAAATTGAAGTCTACGAGCAAGATTTGGAAATGACTCCCAACTTTGACAACTACAGTAAGCACCAAACGTGATGGTGAGCCCGCCCCCATGCGCACAAACTCATTTTCAATATAACTCCCCTTACAGCTCTTGTAACTATACAAATGCTCTGTACAGAGGCGTATCAATCATTACTTGTCCTCCAATGGTGTTAGCGTTTGTCTTTGTCTGGACAATTTGTGTTTTCTGAAAAATGTCATCGCCTAACAAAAAACCAGTGTAAGTGTATCATTATATAACATTTTAATGAACTTTTCGTAATCCAATAGGAATTTAGGTGGGAGAGTCTATACCTGCGCGATCGCTTGCCATCACGTTTGGCGCTTGCTATTGTAACATTTCAACTGAAACTTTCAGTTTATTGAAAGATAAACTGAAAAACTGATCTAATACAAATTTACAAAGCTAAACAATGTGAATAAAAACGATAATACAGATCAATACAAAAAAGTTATTAGTATACTTCAAAAAATTATCGGCAGAGTCAAAAATGTGACAAAAAGAGTAAATGCTGAAATCATAATAATTGATGGACACAAACAAAATGTGTAACTTACAAGAATTAACAGATGACAATTGGGAAACAAGTTTTTCACAGGAAAACAAACCAGAGAGAGTTGTAACCAAAAGTTTTGGTTACAACACTTCCAGTATCACTACCAGTATCAAAAGGTATGACACTACAATGTTACACTAGTGTATCCAAATACTTTCAGCAAAGCACTTCCCAGAGGAGATGTGGTGCTTTGAAATACTAGTATAATAACAATAACCGAAATTGAATGTAATGAGGATTTTTTCAGTTATAGTTAACATTGTATATGAAGCACAAAATAATTTCTACTTCTTCCATAGGAATGTTGAATAATACTGTTAAAGAACAAATGTCTATTCTTTGATAAAAACACGATTACTTCAAACGATTCATCATTCTGATAGCCCTTTTCTGAATTACAAATATTGTTTTAGTATCACTATTGCTTACCCAAAATATGATTCAATATCTAGCTACAGACTCAAACTTGGCAAAGTATAAAATTTTTATGGATTCTTTGTTGAGATATTTGTGAATCACCCTTAGTCCATATGAAATTTTGCTCAATTTGTTAGTTGTATAATTTCATTTATGCTTGGTATACTTCTTTTCAGATGTGGGAATTTCATCATAACCACTAGAGTATTTATTTTTTAATGTTTCCCAATGATTGCATTTTTCGATATATTAGGCTTTTCCTAGAGAAGTTATGATTTTCTTACACTACTATTATAATTTTTTGATACCTCCTCATTTACTTTAAAGAAAAAAGCTTTTAGGGGATTCTTTTTGTTGATATTCATTGTATCTTCTGAAATCAAATCTGCGAAAACAAACTCCTTTCAGTTCTTTCACAAAAAAGTTTTCATCTTTTCCCAGTCTGTTTCTCGAATAACTTGTAATGTGTTTATCTTCTACTTCTGGCAACACCCTGTATATATACATCCATGATCTTTGTAGTACTCCCACAAAGCCATATTTGTTTCCATCTCCGACTTGTCCTAATTGTCTGGTTGCTCTTCTTTCAAATTTCCTTCGTCTTCTTGACCTCACTGTAAATCCCTTTTCATTTTCCGGTTCTGATTTTTCTGATTCAGATGACTCATTGTTTACTATACTTTCAGTGTACGACCCCTCCGTACTATTCTTGCCTGTCCAAACAAATGGTTTTTGTTGCATTATTCGGGTTTTAATCTTTGGGTAGAGAACCATTTTTTGTTTCCATAGTTTTTTTGACCTCTTGGGAATTTATATTTGTTATATGTTTTTGTTCCGCTCTGTGAGGTTATTGGCTTTTTCCTCTATTAACAATTCATTTTCAAACAAAATTTTATGGACTCTAATATCTTACCCAGTTCAAAAGATAAGAGGAGAAAGAAAAATATTTACATCTGCACTGTATATTCACCGACGACACACACACACACACACACACACATACCTGTCGCGCAATAGTAGTGTGGACACCACGCCCTGGTGTGAATTGTGGGGTCTTCGAAGTTTTTATAACCAGGTGGTAGAGGCTTATTAGGTGAATACGCAGCTATTTCCAGTTTTTCTTTACACACCGAAGCCAGTGACTTTTCATTAAAACAGACATCTGTGGCCATGACCACACCTCAACGGTAACTGCAGGTCAACCCACTGATATCATTTTGTGGCCGCATACACAATTCACACACCTCAAAATTTCAAGGTCATTATCTCCAAGGACATCATTTCAGGTATCATTATGTGGCCATAAACACTTGGTTTATATTGTGTTTCCTGAAAGCTGGCAAAATAGATTTTGTATTTCGATTATTCTCGAAACAACTGAAAGTATTAAAAACTGTAACGAGAATGATTTCATTCCTGTCAGTTGATCAGTTCTACAAATGATAACCGAGCATTTTAAATAAAAAAAAAGATTTTGATATAGACACTTATAGTTATATAATCGATGCTAGTAATATTTGGTGAACGTTTTGTCGCAGTACTTACATTTAAAAAATCCGTTTTGGACTTTTCAAGCTCTTTAATTTTCACCTTTCTCTTGTTTATACTACAAAAAGTTATCAAATAATAACAAAATAATTTTAAATCAATTCGAAAACTCACAATAAAGAATTTTTAAAATTTTGGATTAGCTACTGAAAGTGGATTGAATTTTCATAAAATTGAACTGCTAAATCTTGAATCAACTTGCTCTCGATAATGCAGTAGTTCCCATTGATGTCATGCAGAATATTTCAATGTATTGAATTTCTACATATGATTAACTGAAAAATCTTAGTATATTAGAAAAATACTGGAAATCAATAACGAAATAATAATAATAGCGTTTTTATTATTCTCAGATATATTTCTTTTAACAATTGTTTGGTCAATGTTAAATAAATTGGGCAAAGAAAGCCACTTTATTTTTCTTAAATAATAGTTATCATTAAATAACTATTTGTGGGTACTTTTGGTTTCTCTATACACACCGAAGTCGGCAATTGCACCGTTTGCTCCACATCAATCTACTGATGCCACTTAGTGGCCACATACACAATTCAAACACCTCAATATTTCAAGGTCAATACCCAATAACAATATCATTATGACCTGATGTGCTGATAGAAATAGTAATCTCCTTTTTTTTTAATTCCAATTAAACGACAACAAATTAAAAATGAAATGATCATAATTAACGCCAAAAACAGTCGAAATTTTTGTATGGAGTAACCACTGAAAGTGATTGATTTTATAATATTTCAATGTACCTATAGAATTTCGAATTTTGATTCAGAGAATAATGAAAATTTCAATTTACACTATGAAATGAGGTGAATGATTCTTATAAATTTGAAAATTTGATGTGTTACAATAAATTAGAAAACGGACTGAACAATTTGTTATAAACCGAGTTTGGCATTTAAAGGTTAGTGCCTTATTTTTTTAGATATCGAATTGGAAAGTACTTTTATATTTTGCCGAATATTCTATGTTGATATTTCCCCTTCCACATTCGTTCTATTTGTTCGGAGAGCCCGACTGAAGATGATATGTCATGATTCGTAGAATGTTGATGTAAACAAAGCTCTTAAAAGAGTTACGTCTATCACGTCTCTTTACATTATAAAAATCATTAAAGAAAATTCTACTTGAAGATTTACAAAACGCAGGACATTGAATGTTGTGAAAAAAAACAACCAAAAGCATCAATTCAAATAGGTGTAAACTCGGACTGTGGAGAAAAGATATTTCAAGTTTGCTCGACATCAGATATAAAGCAATAACAAAAATGAAAGCGACTGAAAGAAAAATGATGTTACAAAGTTTTGTGACAAAGAAATGAAATTGAAATAAGCCTAGTAGTTACCTTTCCCATTCCGTTCTGACAAACCTCAATAAATAAAACAACCTGTTATTTATCCTTCGGTTTTTTTGAACTGTATTTTTTTCTGGGTTCTTTTACTTTTTTCTATAGGATTTATTAGGACGATCAAGTTGTAAATGTATCATAAAATCAACAACATATTGATTCTATCTGTCACAATGGTATTATAATCAACAAACATAAGGGGAAAACTACGGATATTGTTATATAATTAGTTCTCAACAGACTGTTTTTCCCTTCACTTCAAACCACTACTCAGTTCCGTGCATTCTTATATCAACTTTGGTCGATCTGGAATAGTCGCAGCGATGCAGATAGGAAGCAGAACAATTAAAATAACACAAGCTACGATAA